CAGAGCAGTTCGGGAGGTAAGAGAGCGAATAGGCAAGTTGGCGTGGGGTAGGCGGAACATAAGTAGCTAGCTCAGTGTGCACCTTTGGTTAACAGATTGGAGAGAAGTTACAACAAAATAAACTTCGGAGGTTTGTTCGTTACATTCTGCTAAAAAAAGTCGACACGACAAGACAGGACGAGACATTCAGTTTCAACGTCTGGGATCCCAGTCACCTCCAATACGCAATTTCGACAAGTAAGCGTAGCAGTCATGAACACGTTGGTTGGAAGGTTGGCCATAAATGTGACGCGTAGGAGTGCCACACATAGCGCACCTTTTTCTGCTGTGGGATGCCACTCGCTGCAGAGTGTCAAATGTCAGGTAAGTCTCACAGTCTTCTTCTTCTGAGAATCTCCTTGAAAATTCCTATGCTACAATCTATTTTGAGGCAGAAGATACATTTTAAACATGCCTACCGCTTGTTTTCATTGGCATTACCTCAGTTCTATGCCCGCGTTGCAGTCGCTTTACTTTTGTTTTATGTCATCATAGAGAATTTCTACATCCTCGATTGACCCATCTGTGCTCAAGCGGAGCATGCGGATTGAGCTCTTCTTCTTCTTGAGTGCCTATGACAGGTCTCGTTAGTTCCTTTGCCTGTGTAGTGACAGTCCTGTACGTCTTCCCAGCGCTAACAACTACTTTTTCCATCCAGCGTCCAGTACGGACTTCAGGTGTTGGCCGAAGAAGCTCAATTCAAAGCCATCTTGGAATCCTCGGCTGTCGAAGATCATCTTCCTTCGCTCCCATCTCTCCCGAAGCTCAGGATAACGGTGCTACCATTCCTAAAGAGCCAACCTTCGTGGTATTGGAGGAGGCCGACCTATCCGATAGCATAAAGGAAGTTTCTGAGGTTTCCAGCACCGACCCAGAGCCAAGCGAATCAAGTTCATCCTCCTCTGCCCCCACACCATGGTTCGTGGATACCTCATACCTACCTTCCTCCTCTCTCGCATCAAAGTCAATTCCAACACCACCCATCGCACTGCCTTCCAACCTCGAACCATTACACGATCAACTCTGCCGTTCCCCTTTCCTCGATCCTGAAAGTGTCGCTTTCTCGAAGAAAGATGGGGAGTGGCGTGCTATTGCCTGCATGAAAGAAGGGAGGGAAGGAGGGGTGAGAGCTGCAATCGGAGAAACAGCTGCTTGGGTGCGCTTTGTCTCTATCAAAAGCTCGAGGTGGCTTGTTAATGCTGAGAGGTAGATGCGCAAAAATCCTGAAGCTCCATACTCGAGGAACTTGCGAATCTCTGGTCTCGCTTCCCGGCGTGGAAGTGGTTCGACAGACTGGGCCATAATCGACACTGGTTACATGACCGTGCACATCATGACCGTCCGAGCTAGGATGTACTATGACCTTGACGGTTGGTCAGAACGCGCCACCGAAGAGGAGCGATTGGCATGGGACATTGATTATCAGTAGAGGTGTTTACAATTTTACTCTATGATATGGACATTCCACTGTGTATAGATACCAGCATAAACATCTTTTAATCCCACAAAACAAACATCCGTTCACTGATTTTGTCCCCTTTTTCAAAGTTTACTTCCGATACCCTTGGAATGTATACACCAGAAGTCTACTCTGCCAAACCCAAGACTAAAGCAACTCGACACGGAACGTATACCTACGTCAGCTTCAGTTTCACTTCACGTGCAAGCCACCAGACAACAAAGACGAACCCTCAAGCTGTTCTTCCTATCGTTCCATGGTTCCGGGTTTGTGAAATACTCCCCATCCATCTTAATCCTGTCATGACCTCCGAACGCACGCTCGTCAGAGCAAAGCACAATCTTGAACTTTCCGGCCATCTCCACTCCTAGCTTGTAATCCACGAAGGACTGATATGGGTGGAAGTTGAAGATGAACAGCAAGTTAGCGCGCTCGAAGACGATCATTTTATCGCCTTCGTGCTTAAGGGAGACGTATGCCTGCAGACACTTTAGAAACGCCTTTACATTGAAGAGGAAATGACACACCTGGGGACTGCTAAGCCATCCGTACTGGTGCTCGAGGTTATTCATGAACTTGTCGAATGTGTTAAGGTATTTGTAACGCAGTAGGTGGTCATCTACAACGTTCCACTGGCGTCTGGCATAATGGAAGGAGTTGCCGTTTCCTTCTCTCGGAAAGTCGAGCCACTCGGGATGACCGAATTCACTAGACATCTTCAGCGACTCGATCCAGATCCCGAACTGAGAAGACGCACTTTCCCTCGAAATTGAGGTATCCCTCTCCACCTAGCGCGTGCGTGAGTAACCTGATCATTTTGTGCAGCGCAATGCCTCGATCGATGATTGGCGTGAGTTCGGTGAGGTCAGACATGTTGGTGTACATTTCTTTGTCCATCAACCAGAACGCAATCGTCTTGTCGCCAACCAGAGCCTGATCGTGAGATTCGCAGTACGCGATTGATTTCTCGCCATGCCTTCGATTCGTGAGTGTGAAACAGATATTTCCTATGTTCCACGCGTCGTCTGAGACCTCTTTCAAAAGCTTGATCCACATGTCCGGCACCGCCATAGCGAGACGATAGTCGAATCCAATCCCACCTGTTTGAACGGGCAAACAGAGAGCGGGCATGCCGGAGACGTCTTCAGCAATGGTTATTACGTTTGGATAGAGGGAGTGGAGCATGCGGTTCGCCTATGTCTCGCATCAGTTAAGGTGGTACAATAGGAGGGAACACGAACGAGCATGAGGTATACGACCCCTTCGTCGTCCACTCCATCCCCAAAGTACTCATGATATCCTCCAGAGAATCCAGTCCCGATTCCATGATGCTTGTACATCATGCTGGTAACGCCGTCAAATCGGAACCCATCGAACTGGTACTCTTCCATCCAGAATCTGCAATTGCTAAGGAGGAAGCGGAGAACTTCATGATGGCCGTAATTGAAAAGACGACTTTTGTGCCCAAGTCAGCGAATCGCAACTAGAGAACCAAAGGTGCGTACGAGTCCCACAACTCGTGCCTACCTTTTCCTCCTTCATGAAAATAAAGATGATCTGTTCCGTCGAACATGTTCAATCCATCCAACACATTCTTGCAGGCATGCGAGTGGACGATGTCGAGTAGCACGACGAGGCCCATTCCATGAGCCGTGTCGATAAGCTCCTTCAAATCTTCCGGAGTACCGTACCGAGAAGATGCGCAGAAGAAATTAGTCACTTGATACCCAAACGAAGCGTAGTAGGCATGCTCCATGACGGCCATCACTAATTATCTCCATCAATTTTCTGCAAAACGGTTCGGGGAGAGGGACGCACTCTGGATTACGGTATATCCCAAATCCTTAATCCGCCAAAGCATATTCTTTGTAAACTCCTTGTACGTCCCTACCCTGCCCTCTGGCGTCGAGATACCCACTGAATTATTTGTTCTCAGCGACGCCTCTTGCTCAACAGTTGCAAAAACAAACCATGCGCCTCGTATATCTTAGCACTCCACTTCTTGTCATCCTGCCAATTCGGCCGTTGATTTTTGAACGTGTACTTTTCATGAGACATTGGATTCCAGAAGCGCGCATCGTAAGTTGGAGAAACTTTAAGGTCCTGTGTTACGCGTCTTCGAAGATGCAGAATTAGGTTAGGAGGGGGGGTGGGAGAAAGACAACGTACTTGATCCATGCGGGTAAACGGTCAATCACCTCCCCGTACTTTGTGATCATCGTAATCTACCCATCTTCAGTCAAGCAAACGTAAGGCAACAGCGGCGCGGCGCACCTTGAGTTTACTTTCGTGTGGAATGGCACATTTCCCCCTCTCGCCAGGAATGGTGATGCTCCATACTCCAAAGTCATCTCTGGTCATTTTATGCTTCCCTCTATCCCATCCATCTTTCGTTACGCTCTCAGCACCCGCTCTTCGCCATCAACAAGAGAAAGGGAGGGCTCACTGAAGTCCCCGATCAATGCTGCAGCAACGACACCAGGTGCCCACTCCCTATACGTCACGCTTCCATCTTGTGCGACATTGAAACCAAACTTCTCATATCCTCTAGAAAAAGGTTCATATCCTCCTTCAGTATCTTGAATTGCCTTTTCCCATTTCTCATACATGGCATATCTTGGAACAATCTCAGCATCCCACACGTTTTGATACACAAAAGACAGCTCACCGAGCTTTGATGCGCTCGCGGAATGGCTCTAGCCTGCCATTTCTGGTTACAGAGGAACGCTGCAAAAGGGCATAACTAACCATGGATCTATGTCAATTATGCCTGTCCCATCGGCTGGAAGAATTTTTTGCGCGCCATCTGCATTCGACATGGTCTTTAACAGTCGTGTGAGAGTTGTTTTTCAGTATGAGATAGCTGCCCGAGAATGCAGTCGTCGTCGTTTTTTCTGACAGTTTCTTTTGGGTGTGACGTAATTAATGTTGGGGCAGCTTCTACGATGGCAGATCACGAAAGAGGAAGCGAAGCGAGGAGGCTGAGGAAACAAGATGTGAGGAAAAGTGGAAAGACTGCTTTAGATGGTGGGGAGCGATAAAGCAAGTCAGAGGGGCAAAAGATCTTTCGAACGAAGAAGGTCCGCTTTCTTATCTGGAGTGTGCAATATTGGTTCGTGGGACCATATGAACGACTGAATGTCATTATTGGTTGGCTCAACTCTCAAATGTTCCGAATCAAAGCCAAGTAGCCGGATCGAGTTGGTTCAAGGTGACTTCATGTCGACAACGGCTGGAACCAACTGTCAGCCACACGGTGCAGTGTTTTTCAGCTCAGCTCAACTGTCTCTATGACTGTCTGTTGAACTTGGGTGTGCATCCCTTGTTAAGCTTCCAGCGGAAACATACACCCGATGCAATGATATTTTGATTAACGGTTCTACGCTTGACTTTTATTTCGAGGAGAGATGTTGTATCGAATTAGCCAGAAGTAACCTCCATGTCAGATGCCACATTTGACACTATAATACCATTGACAACCTGGCCATCAATGATAACTACAGGAAGTGTGGTCTAGAGGTATGATTCTCGCTTTGGGCAACCAAATTTGCGAGAGGTCCGGGGTTCAATCCCCCGCTCTTCCCTTTTTTTTGTTTTCTTTGGACCTCGTTTTACTTTTGTTGTGGACTACCATGACTCCCGTTAACCAGGAACATTGATGAGATTGATCGTGATGGCGAGCACTGTCCATTTGTGTGCACTTTACACCTTATGTGTTGATGCGATGTAATGAGGGGAAGTCAATCTTGCCCATCAATACGTCGTTCTAATTCATCCACGGAATCCGCCCTTCAGCGAACCAGCGAGTTCTCTCGCACTTGCACCGGACTTCAACTGAAGCGTCTGTCATCCTCGCTTCACTCGTTTGCTCACACTGGAACTCGCATCGCGGGTCTCCTGTGCGTACGTTGAGGCAGCGCAATGAATAAGACGAGGAGGTGCTTGTGTTAACTTCTCCGAACGTGCGAGCACAACACGCTGGAAAGATAAGACTGTTTCCCCTTCGTCTTTAATAACTTCAGCAACAATGTTGTACGCATTAGCTCTCGAAATAAAACATATATAATGGAAGAGCAAGGAGGAAGCAAGAGTAAGATTTTGAAATGCTACAGCAGGAGGTTCAATGACAGGAAGGATTTAGACACGACCGCTCCACACAACAACATCCCATTAGACCACATCAGAACACCTTCCTACGAGAGCCTTAGAGTGGCACCCCATGATGACCCAAAAAGTGACGACAACGATGTCTCCCCGACCTTCTTTTCTGTTCAGTATGGAATCAGCATGATGACCTTTTTAACGACGTTTGGCATGCTTCTCGCAGCCTTTCATCACATCTTCTACAACTACCTGGATGGCCGACGCACCACTGGGACGCTGGTTGGGAACGGAACTCTCGCAAACGTCCTTGGAGGCGATCAGCAATGGGCAATCACAATAGGAAACGCCTTCTCGAGCATCGTGAAATGGTTGCTCGCAGGAAGCATTGCGATGGCATTT